CTTACCTTTTTTCTTATTGTCTTCAGTGTCGCTGTCAGAAATATAACACCACTCGAATGGATTTATGTACGGTGGCTCCACGTGAAACAACTCGACAATTTTGTTATGCAGTGGATCACCTTCTGTCATGTACGCGATGGCAAAATCATCCCACTATGAAAAAAAAATTAATTTAGTTTGTACATCTATCGACTATTATCTGTAAGAAAGGAAATGTAAATCAATTAGGAAACTCACATTAAACAATTGATACTAAGTTTTGTCCGAAGCATTGTACTTGTTTTGCTCGACGTCGTATTGAATACCATCCTTGTCTTTCAGCGCTGTGAAGATATCATGTCGTTTGGCATACATTCCAACGCGGGTACCAATGTACTCTACCGTGAAACTCTTGGAAAACCACGCATTGAATGCGTTCGTAGCACCAAGTATGGACTCACTATTATCTGCAAAAGGAACAAATATACCACACAACTTATTTTCAAGTAAATAGTCGATCAGAAACTCATCAAACTTTGGTGTCCAATGTAGGTCGTACAGGTATTCGCCCTTCACTACACCAAAATCAGGAGCCATTGTTAGTAGAAATAACAGATATTTGTGGTTTACTTCCTTTTGCTTGTGTGGAATAATTTGTTGTGAAGTGGGTCGTTTAAATAAGGAGGTAACATGCTTCGTTATGAGTGATGATGCACATGGCAGAAGATGGAAAGCATGGTTGGCAAGTATGTGATTTCGAATCAGTTCAAACCTGCAGTGATTGGTCATATCATGTCTTTTCAATTGCGAATATTTTGACCAAACCAGCTCGGCTTTATAGAAAAGTTGATGCCTAAACATAGACCTGGCGTGAGTTTTCATACCACGTCGTGTCATACCACATAAGCGACCCCTCAATGGTCAATTTCATCCCTTGTGACCAATAATGTTGTCAAGTATTTTAAATTCAAAAAACGAATGCATAGTAATCCATCATAAATACAACAGTACAAAGTAGGTTTACAAAACATTAGTTATTACACACAAATAAGTAGACGGTGTTTAAGAACCTAATCATAGTTTATTGTACCCAACCTTACTTAAAAAACCAAAGGCTAATAAAAAAGCAAACAATGCACCAAAATGTAGATTTCATATATCTGAGCTTTTTCTCCAAGCTATGGGCTTTATGGACAGCATCATCAAGGCTCATCTGCAGTTCTACATTTTTGGTTGCTTCAATCTCCAAATTGAGGTTCAACACTTTATTCTCATTTTCCAACGCCTTTTTCTCAGAAGATTTTAAGTCTAGCAGCTCTGATAGCAGTTTCTCCATGACATTTTGGCACAATATTTGCTCCTGCAAGCGGTCCTTTTCAGCCTTAAGCTTGTTAAAACAAGCCTTTTGGAACGGCGGCAACTCGGGATCAATCCATACAAACAAGTTACAAGACTTTTCAGCCTCTTTGAACTACGAAAAAATCAAAATAATTCAGAGATTAAACTTCATGCACATACATGTTAACAAAAGAAAACACTACATAACCAACAAAACCGTATGCAACCAACAAAGGTTCATGAACCTCCTCAAAGAAAACTACAAAATTTAATACTCAAATAGCAGTAAGCATAACTACATAACAAACAGAAAGAGCACAAATCACACAGATGCACAAGAACTACTCAACTTCAAACTCAAATAACCTTAGGCATTTATAATATAACTAAAATTTGGACTGCACATAACCACAAAGCTAAATAATTATACAAACACATTCATAAAAACTGCCACCCGAAGTAATCTGCCAAAAGATCTACTGGACTCGAACAACTGTAAAGGGTAGTGGGATAAAAATTTAACCTTTCGGCGAGGACATTTGCAGAACCTTCGAGCTGGGTTGTCACTCTTCATTGATGTGAACACATCGGCTGCGTCGCCACAATCACATAGCGTAACCTGAAACGGACTACTATATCGATTGCTTGAACTCGTGTGAGAAGTACTTGATATCTTGTTTGTCTGAAAGTGTGCAAAATTAATGACGAACGACTCATTTCAATCAGGGTAACAAGAACAACATAATCAAAGCCCATGATGACAATAACAACATAATTCCATTAATAAGAGAGAACAAAACCTAACCATATAATACATGACAATAAACAGAACACATAAATACACAACTCAAATTAAGGACACACAATATACATGACAATACATGACAGTATACAGAACCCAGAAATAAAGAACACATTAGTAACAGAAAACAAAACTTCACCAAATCATGGACACAGAATATACATTCTCACCTGCAGTGATTGGGGGGGGGNGGGGGGGGGGGTATCATAACAGCAATAAACCCAGAAATGCATAACCCAAACTAGAAGTAAATAAATAAATTATACACAACAAATTAACAAATCTTTACATAAACAAAAGCTGGACCTTTTTTTCGGATTTATTGGCAGGAGAATGTGAGAGAAAGTGGGATATAGAGATACATGGAAAAGATCAAGATGGAGTAAGGGATGTAGAAAATTGCTTTACCAGAGTATGAACTGAAATGGCTGGTGGGAGCTTATTACCCCGTAATAAACTCACAGAAAGATTGTGGCTTTGCACAAGAGAACAAAAATCAATGGCTACCCATAATTCGTTCTCTCTCTCAACGCACGGCGAGTAAAGCCCACATGGAGAAATGCACAATTTTCTCTATCTATATATAACGCAAAATTTGATTTTGAGGCGAAAAAGGAAAAATTTGCTACTGCCCATGACCTATTATATGTAATTTGTCTCTTTAATCAATCAAATGTTTGAGAATTAACAAAAGAAAATTCTGAAAATTGATTAACTAAAGAGTCGGTTCCATTTCACAAAGAAAAGGCAAAAATTGGAGATCCAATCTGGAAAATGGTCGTACTTGCCTTTCGGGTATATTCTCGGAGAAGGATGGTACAGAGAGGAGAACTCGTGGCTGCTCGTCGTGAGTGAAGAAATGCCCTCTCTGCAATGCGCTGCACTGCCGTCGGGATAAGGAAGAAGGAAGAACTCGTGGTTGCTCGTCGTGGAGGCGTCTTGGCACAGATTTAGGGCAAAATTATGTTCTTCGGTGAGTATTGGAAGAAATCGAGGGCAATCTTGTCTTTGCCCTGTATATCATATCAGTTAATCTATGTAAGTAAACGAGGGATTCGTTTATGCAAATTCCATCCCTAAAAGTAAACAGGGGACTAAATGCTGACATGGAAGATTGTCTTGATTAATTTGTCTTATCCGATCCTCCAGGAAACGACCCCTTAATGTATATGTGAGCCCAATTGTAATGAGCCGCAGCATATCTTTCTTTTCAGCGATAAAAGAGTGAACAACTCGCCCCTCTTTGTCTCTCTCGCTTGAACCGCCGCCTCGCTCTTTCTCCGGCCGACGTTCATCTGCTCTACCTTCTTCTCACCATCAAAATAGGTGACTCCTTTACTCTTTATCTTTGATATGCACGAATATGTTTGTTTTCATTTAACAATGAGAAAATTGGAAATCAAAATCGATTGTTCTTTAGCTCCTTCTTAAATTTATTATAATTTTTTATTTCCTTTTGGGAAAAAAAAGTGATTAATCTGGAAAATGAGAAGAAAATTTATGTAAAAAACGATGTTATAATCTTCTGTTCCAGATTGCATACAGATT